CGGCCACCGGTGAAGTTCTGGGGGCGGGGGGCTCGCCCCGCGCGGGAGGCACCCCAACTTTCACGGCTCCGAAAAATACTCCCCGAGTTGGGGGAGGGGGCCACCGAGCCACGAGCAGGAGTGGCTTTTGTCCCTCATCCTTGTTTACTCGGAGAAACTTCAGACCGGACGTGTTTAGTCAGAACAGAAATACATCTCAGGGCCAAACCGATAGGAAACGAGGCTGCCTCGCGGTGGCACCGCCACCCTCCAGCCGGGTTCCGAGCACCGGAGCTGGCTGCAGCTCCCTCTTCGGAGCAAAGTTTTATGCAAAGAGGGTGTTTTTGAAAACTTTCGGTGCACGGTGATTTTTTGTTTAAAGGTCCATAATTAGGAAGAGTCGACTCGCTTAGGCCCTTGTTTGTTCCCTACCTAGTAGTGCAAATCCACGAATTGGCAGCATGTTTTCTGACCTTTGGTTTGGTTGGTTTAAAAGGGTGTTCTAGATTTTAAAATCGTTTAAGTGACCAGTTACTCCTTCAGAGCAGACGCAGGCGGATAGATAGGGAATACTGTATGGGTATATCTTTGTGTCTAGACTTCTTAAGATCGCCCTGAAGGACCGTTTTTGTTTTGTTTTTACTTGGCATAGCCCCTTCAAGGAATTTAATCTCTCGGCCATATTCTTGTCGGATTTCACGGAGGTTGATGTCACGACTGTGTTAAATAACCAGTACCTTGGTTTTCATTCCCTTCCTAAGTACTTCAAGCTCTTATGTGTCATAATTTTATTGCTAACATCAGATAATTTATTTTTTTTTAGAAAAATAACTAAACATGGGCAAAGGAGATCCTAAGAAGCCGAGAGGCAAAATGTCATCATATGCATTTTTTGTGCAAACTTGTCGGGAGGAGCATAAGAAGAAGCACCCAGATGCTTCAGTCAACTTCTCAGAGTTTTCTAAGAAGTGCTCAGAGAGGTGGAAGGTAAGAGGGCTTAAAACATGCTAACAAGGTAATTAAAAGACAATTTCCAATTGAGGATGCAAAAGAAAGTCTAGTTGGCGGTCTCATAGTGTCACGCTATTACATAGCAAAAGACATTGGTTTTGAGAATAATTTACTTGAATTTTACAACTTAAATTTACAAATAATTATTTTGTAGACCATGTCTGCTAAAGAGAAAGGAAAATTTGAAGATATGGCAAAGGCGGACAAGGCCCGTTACGAAAGAGAAATGAAAACCTATATCCCTCCCAAAGGGGAGACAAAAAAGAAGTTCAAGGATCCCAATGCACCCAAGAGGCCTCCGTGAGTATCTTGCCTGTTTTTACTTCCCAGACACGGTTTACAGTAGAATCTGAGAGAAATTTAGCAAGCTACTTTGTCAGTTTAGAGTGTAAGTGTACAAAGTTTCTTAGCTAATACGTGTTCATACTGGTTATATTTAAATACTATAAAATTCCTGTTGGGTGGGAGTGTTACCAGAGCAATTGAATTAGACACTTGGTCTCCTTTGCCCAGTGTATTTCCTTTGGTCCTTTTATTTCTTGAAAAATACTCTCTCTCTGAAATAGTGTAATTGTAGAATGTTCATCTGAGGCTGTAGTTAGTATAAATTAAATAGTTGTAAATTAAGCTTTGGTTGTGAAGGATATTAGCATATTATAGTATTTGCACCCTGTTCAGTGCATCACAGAAATTCACAGGCAGCTTTAAATAGCAATGCAGTGTACACTTGATACTATTTGTTTTTGTGGTCTGTTAACTTAAAATCCTAATTTTTTTTTTTTGTTTTTAGTTCGGCCTTCTTCCTGTTCTGCTCTGAGTATCGCCCAAAAATCAAAGGAGAACATCCTGGCCTGTCCATTGGTGATGTTGCGAAGAAACTGGGAGAGATGTGGAATAACACTGCTGCAGATGACAAGCAGCCTTATGAAAAGAAGGCTGCGAAGCTGAAGGAAAAATACGAAAAGGTAAGAAGTGTGGGTTTGCTTGGTAAAAAGATGACGAGTACGCGAGATGTTGTATGATTGTACTTAGTTTGAGGTGTAATAAGTTTTTAGTGTAACAGCTACATTAAGTATGCTGTTGATATAAGTCTTTTCTCATCCTTCAGAGAGAATACAGAGGACCAAATAAATTGGTTTTTTTGACTAAATTAAGACTCAGACAAAGGCTGTGTACATTTAAGTTGGTTTTGTTACTCCCCAGTATCTTGAAGTTGATGAAAATGTTGATAGTCACTTCAGGTCAAAAATGAGTATTTTTAAATGGCTTGGCATACAGTACAGAAATAAGCTAGACAAAGTAATATAGGCTATGTTTTTCTTAATCATATCCTGAAACATTTAGGTTCCTTTCCTTTAGATATTCAAAAAAGCACAACATCACTAAGTTAAATTTCAAGTCTGCTGCTCTGTCCAATAAATTAATAAGATTAAGGAAATCTATAACTCTTATAGTTAAGTAAATTGAAATATTAAATACTTAATTTTCAGCTTCTTTAGTCATTCTGAAAAGTGTTTATTTCTAGATGTTTCGTAACCTCCTAATTGCATGGTTATTGACAAATTAACTTTTTTTTTTCCTAAGACAACATGTTCTTCTAAGGATTAGGGTCTGACAGTGTAAACCTGTAGAGTGCTTTTTTGCATTCAGAAGGTGGCAGTGTCTACCCTTTAATCAAAGTCTCTACATTCTGGTTTTAATAGAGTTAGGATGTGGTACATAATTGCACCTCAATGAGGCATAACTTTGCAAATACTAGACTATGCCATTTCATGAGTTATAGATTGTTATAATGATCTCGTATTTTTATGTTCATTTATTGAAGTTCTCCTTATTTCTGGAGTTGCAGTGGATCTACAGATACGTGATATTTTGGTATAACTAGAATCTTGATTTATTTCATAAGCTTCTGCCATGTTCTATTTCTTCCCTTAATGTTTTTTTCTTCCCTACTGTTTTGTCCTCCCTTTGCTTTGGAAGGATATTGCTGCATATCGAGCTAAAGGAAAGCCTGATGCAGCAAAAAAGGGAGTTGTCAAGGCTGAAAAAAGCAAGAAAAAGAAGGAAGAGGAGGAAGATGAGGAAGATGAAGAGGATGAGGAGGAGGAGGAAGATGAAGAAGATGAAGATGAAGAAGAAGATGATGATGATGAATAAGTTGGTTCTAGCGCAGTTTTTTTTTCTTGTCTATAAAGCATTTAACCCCCCTGTACACAACTCACTCCTTTTAAAGAAAAAAATTGAAATGTAAGGCTGTGTAAGATTTGTTTTTAAACTGTACAGTGTCTTTTTTTGTATAGTTAACACACTACCGAATGTGTCTTTAGATAGCCCTGTCCTGGTGGTATTTTCAATAGCCACTAACCTTGCCTGGTACAGTATGGGGGTTGTAAATTGGCATGGAAATTTAAAGCAGGTTCTTGTTGGTGCACAGCACAAATTAGTTATATATGGGGATGGTAGTTTTTTCATCTTCAGTTGTCTCTGATGCAGCTTATACGAAATAATTGTTGTTCTGTTAACTGAATACCACTCTGTAATTGCAAAAAAAAAAAAAAAGTTGCAGCTGTTTTGTTGACATTCTGAATGCTTCTAAGTAAATACAATTTTTTTTATTAGTATTGTTGTCCTTTTCATAGGTCTGAAATTTTTCTTCTTGAGGGGAAGCTAGTCTTTTGCTTTTGCCCATTTTGAATCACATGAATTATTACAGTGTTTATCCTTTCATATAGTTAGCTAATAAAAAGCTTTTGTCTACACACCCTGCATACCATAATGGGGGTAAAGTTAAGTTGAGATAGTTTTCATCCATAACTGAACATCGAAAATCTTGATCAGTTAAGAAATTTCACATAGCCCACTTACATTTACAAACTGAAGAGTAATCAGTCTACTCAAAGCATGGGATTATTAGAATCAAACATTTTGAAAGTCTGTCCTTGAAGGACTAATAGAAAAGTATGTTCTAACCTTTACATGAGGACTCTAATCTTTAACTCCCATTACCATGTAATGGCAGTTATATTTTGCAGTTCCCACATTAAAGAAGACCTGAGAATGTATCCCCAAAAGCGTGAGCTTAAAATACAAGACTGCCATATTAAATTTTTTGTTGACATTAGTCTCAGTGAAGACTATGAAAATGCTGGCTATAGATGTCTTTTCCCATTTATCTCAATATGGACTGCTCAGGAAACGAGACTTTCCATTACAAGTATTTTTAATTAATTGGGCCAGCTTTTAAAATGAAGATGCCACATTCAAAATAGGGTATATTTTCCTATATTATGGTTTGCCCCTTTATAAATCGAAGTAGATAGGAGGAAAGAAGACACTTAAACTTTGCATCTCAGTATGAATTATTCAACTTATTTGAATGATTTTTCTTTATAAAACAAACTCATTAGTCATTATCTGCTTAGCAGTTTAGGGAACAATTTGGCAATTTTGTGGTTTTTCGAGATTATCGTTTTCTTAAAGTGCCAGTATTTTAAAATAGCGTTCTTGTAATTTTACACGCTTTTGTGATGGAGTGCTGTTTTGTTATATAATTTTGACTTGGATTCTTTCCATTTGCATTTGTTTATGTAATTTCAGGAGGAATACTGAACATCTGAGTCCTGGATGATACTAATAAACTAATAATTGCAGAGGTTTTAAATATTAGTTAAATGGCTTTCACTTAAGAATTTAAGATTTTGTTACATATTTTTAAATCTTGTCTCTAATAATATCTCTTAGTACCTTTTAAATAAGTATAAGGGATGGCAAAGTTTCCCTTTAAAAATACTCACTTTATGCTTATAAATAGGTTAATGGGCTGATAAAAGGTTTTGTCAAACATTGCAAGTACTCTCGGTGCTATATATGAATGAGGAAAAACTAGTTTTACTTTCAGAATGATTTAAACAAGATTTCTAAAAAGATACATGCAAGTGAAAAGCAGGGTTAGTGATAGGCTGCAATTGTGTCAACATCAGATTTTTTGTTAAGAGGAACAAATGACTCAATCTGATTTAGATGGAAGTTTCTACTATATGGAAATAACCATTGTCAACAGTAGTAATTCTGATCAGTTTAAAATGAATTCTGGCTCAAGGAGACTGTAACTTTAGTAGGTATTTCCTGACAGCTACCATTTTTTTAAGATGTTGAGAATGGGAACAGTTTTTTAGGATTTATTCTTGACCACAGATCTTAAGAAAATGGACAAAAACCCTCTTCAATCTGAAGATTAGCATAGGTTGGTTTGGTGTTCCAACAGTATCCCCTAGAAGTTGGATGTCTAAAACTCAAGTAAATGGAAATGGGAGGCAATTTGGATAATTAAGTGTAAAACCTTGTAACTGAAGATGATTTTTTTTAGAAAGTGTATAGAAACTATTCTAATGCCAAGATAGGTACAGTGCTGTGGGGTTTAAACACTTTGTTGACATTAAGAAAAGACTAAACAATCTATAATTAATTGGGCCAACTTTTAAAATGAAGATGCTTTTTAAAACTAATGAACTAAGATGTATAAGTCTTAGTTTTTTTGCATTTTAAAGAGGCATATGGCATATTGAGTCAAATTTCCTAACTTTGCTGTGCAAAGGTTGAGAGCTATTGCTGATTAGTTATCATTAGTTCTGATGATCGTCCCATCACAGTGTTGTTAATGTTTGCTGTATTTATTAATTTTCTTAAAGTGAAATCTGAAAAATGAAATTTGTGTGTCCTGTGTACCCTAGGAGTAATGGTTAAATGATAAAGATAGGGAAAGCGCCCATGTGACACAAACCCATTCAACAGGTATTTCCCTTACTAAAGGAAATGTAACCATTGCTCAGACATTGTAGGATTTAACTGTGTTGAAAAATCACAGGAGAGACAACAGTGGTTTTTGAATGAAATACATGGGCACTACCTTGCTTGACATCGCATAGCCCTTGATGAAAGTTCACATTTAGTTCTGCTTGGTACAGTATGCCTCCTGAAAGGGTTCTTGATGAAAGTTCACATTTAAGTCTGCTTGGTACAACACGCCTCCTGAAAGGGTCTGATAGCTTTCAGTACCAGTAAGACACTTGAATATGATGGTAAGGTATCTGCAAATTTGCACACACTGTACACAGCTTAAGTCTTAGAATTAACTTGCTAAAGTTGATTAGGCTCTTTTATTAGACAGTGTGATATTTGAATTTCTTTTTCATATTTGTGCTTTGTGTCACTTTCAAATGGCCCTTGAAATGCCTTTTAAAACTAGATTAAAGCCAGAAAGTGATTTCATTGGCTATCCAGAAAAAGATGGAAGGTGGTTTGTTTTCTTGTCCCCTTTTAATACCAAGGCAGTGCTGACACTTGCCATAACTTGGGAAATTCCCTGGGTCTATGCCACGTTGCTCCCAGATTAATGAGGCAAAATGTTGCTCTGTTCTAGAATTGCTTGTTTCACAATACATCATGAAGGAAATGCCATACGACATGGAATGACAAAAACATAATATGCCACACTCCAGAATATGTAATGCTCATCTTCCAGGGGGTTTCAGTCTAAGACATAATCTCTGCCAGGAAGAAATGTTAGATGTCTTTAGGCATGTCAATTGGTTTGGACCTTCTAATTAGTTGAATTTTTACTTACTTACTTTGACATGAGAGATTACATAGAATTTCTGTGTTGCCCAGGTTGGTCTCCGAATCTGCTCAAATAATCCTCCCGCATCAGCTTCTCAAGTAGCTGGGATTACAGGGACACACCACTGTGCCTAGTTTAAATAGTTGAATTTATTGGGCATCCGCTGAAAAGGAAGTAGGAATAAAATCTGCAATAATATGAATAAACCTGTAAGTGAGCATGAGCAGTGGTGGGCAAAGGTATGCACACACTAGAATCCAGAAATAGAAAATCAGTGGAAAGCCAGGCACAGTGACTCACACTTACAATCCCAGCACTTTGGGAGGCCGAGGTGGGAGGATCACTTGAGGCCAGGAGTTTGACACTAGCCTGGGCAACATGGTGAGACCTTGTCTACTAAAAATACATAATTTTGTGAATATACTAAATACCATTTTAAAAAGTGGAAAAGGGATTAGAGAGATCCCTGTAAATTATGTACTCATATTAATTGTTCTCTTTAGTCACATAATTCAGTCACGTGACATTCCACAGTATGGTGCTCCATAATATATATTTTTTCTGTTTTCGATCTCACTTGTATATGATCCGTAATACTTTTTCTCATTCCCTTACTGGTGGACATTTAGATTGTTTCCTATTTTTCGCTGTTTAACAGTACTGCACTGAACATCTGTCCATTTCTCTCAGGCATGTGTGGGTCTTCAGATACCTCAAAAGTAGAACTGCTGAGTCAAAAGACATTTGCATTTAACATTTTGGAAGATGTTGATACATTGCCCCCCGCCCACAAAAGCTGTATTTATGCTGTGAAACATTTTAACAATGATTTTGCAATTAATATTTTTACTGGTTTTTCTTTGGCTCTATGACTTAATTTTTAAAAATGAGAAATTAAAATACTGAAATACTGTCATTTGTCCAGAGCTACCTGACCAGAATAAGCAGCACAGGCAGAGTCAACTGAAAGACTCTTAGGTCAAGCCACTGCTTTATTTAAACTGCTAAACTATTTCTCAAACTCCCGGCCTCAAACTATCCTCCCTCCCTCCTCAGCCCTGTTGCTGAGATTACAGGCGTGAGCCACAGTGCCCGGCCTAAACTGCTAAACTATTTCTCTCAAGTTACTGCAGTAACTAAGTAAGTAACCCACTGTGTGAAAATGAGGAGGTTCTTTCCCATTTTGATATACTCTTTCCTAAATGGAAGTATGTGGTAGTTTTTTGGTTTGTTTTATTCTGGAGAGGGTCTTTTCTAGCAGAGATTGTATATCAATCTTACAGAAGCTGCAGCCAACAGTTTTGGAAAAGCAAGTCGTTCAATAAGGTGTAGCGAAAGAAGACATGTGTGGCCCAGATACTAGCCATTGGGAGACAGGTATTTGGAAAGGCAGAATGGATTCTGAGGATTTGCCTTAGGAATAAAGTTCACCAGTTCCTTGCTGGAGATGATACTTTATGGCAAAGGACATACTCCAAATGTGCTTATAAATGAAATTGTATTTATATGCTTAAAGTGAAATTAAGCTTAGTTCCTTAGAATTACATAGAATCTCTCAACAGAGGCTTTACCATATTTTGTTTGTTAGCTTTTGCTTTCTGGGTTTTTTTCCTCCTCTTCACAGGTGTTGACTGTACCCTAGTTTTGTTTATTGGGTTTCAATCAGAGCTTATTTTATAAAGTGATCTGAGCATAACCAAGTAAGAGAATAAAAAGCCCTAAAATAAAATAAGGATCTGTTGAGTGTGAGAGAGTGCTCCTAAAGATAAAGAAAAACAAGATGCTCAGTTGCCACAGCCTCAGGTGCCACGGTAATCCCTGGAAGAGATGAAGAGTAAAAACTTGGAGGCTGCTCAGAGCAAAGATATTGCAGCTCCCCCACGCCTACACCCCAAGCCCCACTTCCCCAGGCCTCGCTCTGCCATCTGGAATCAGCCTGGCTGGGGCTTGGACACAGGGAATGGGGCTAGGCACACTTAGGCTCAGAAGCAGAGAGGCTGACCAGAGAGCCTCTTTTCAGGGAGGGACAGAATAAGGCATAGCACTAGTGTAGGGTCCTAGCACATTAGAGGCAAACGGGCTCTAAGGGCTACTGTAGTCTAATCTGTGCATTTTTACAGAGTAGTGGACAGAGGCCCGTAGGGATTCGGAGGCTTGCTCAAGGACAAATGGCAGTATCAAAACACTCCAGCAGCGCCAGGCTCACAGTAGGTGCAAAAAAGATGTGAGCTCCTTCCCCTTCCCTTAAGGACAGCAACAAAGAGGCTGGAAAGCTTCCTCATTGCCCCTCACTTCCAGGCCTGAGTTCTCCTGCTATGGCTACAATTTTTGCTATGCGGGGATAGCCGGTACAGTCTGCCATCACTGAGGATCTTCTCTGGCTTTCTCCTTTGATTTACTTAGACAGAACATTTCTGAACTGAGTCAAACCAAACCAAACAAAAATGTTCCCAGTCATGTAGAAAGTTATAGGCCATCTGATTCTAAAGGGCTGGTAATCACTGAAATAATAGATGCTGCTTAGGTCGGTAGCCTGATCTTCTGGAAGTAGAAGCAAGATGCAATATGCTACACACGACTGTAACTTTTGAAAAATCGGTTGCCCTTATTATGAATGAAACTTATATTATTGAAACAAAATAAATAAAACAAAAATCTATAATTCTACCAGTCAGCAAGACTATTACCACATTATGTGTCCTAAGGCCAGTTTCTATATATAACATGTAATATATATAGATACAGATATATAGAGATAGATTTTAAAAATTAAGGTGAGATTCATATAACAAAATTAACCTTTTAAAGTGAACAGTTCAGTGGCATTTAGTACATTCAAAATGTTCTGCGACCATCACCTCTATCTAGTTCCAGTATGATTTCATCACCCAAAAAGGCATCCCTGTACCCATTATTTTCTTCTCCACTAGCCCTTGGCAACCACCAATCTACACTGTCTCTATGGATTTATCTATTCTAGATATTTCATGTAAATGGAGTCACAATATGTGACATTTTGTGTCTGGCTTCTTTTACTTCATGTA